CCCCAGACATCCGACGTCACGATTTTTCCCCAAACAGCTTGCTGAACGGGATGCTGTTGTGATAAAAACTAACTCCGGCCGAGGGAAGGCGGAGCAGAGACATCGTCACAACAATTTTATGGTTTTGGCAGTTTCGCTTGAGACATCCTCACAACTCTCGTTTCTGAGTTGGCCGGGATTGGCCGTTTCGCCTGAGACATCCTCGAAAAGTTGCGCTCCGGGACGCCGCGCGAGAGGTGGTCCGGGCCGTTTCGCTTGAGATATCCTCGAAACTCTGAGCCCCGAGGTGCCGTGCGAGAGGTGGTCCGGGCCGTTTCGCCTGAGACATCCTCGAAATTCTGACTTCGGCGATGCCTTGCGCGAGGTGGTCCGGCCCGTTTCGCCTGAGACATCCTCGAAACTCTGACTTCGGAGATGCCGCGCGAGAGGTGGTCTGGCCCGTTTCGCCTGAGACATCCTCAAACTTCTGAGCTCTGAGATGCCCTGCGCGAGGTGGTCCGGCCCGTCTCGCCTGAGACATCCTTGCAACTCTGAGCTCGGAGATGCCGGGCGCAAGGTGGTCTGGCTTGTTTCGCACAAGACATTCTCGCAATTTTGAGCTCTCAGATGCTGCGCAAGAGGTGGTCCAGCCTGGGGGCCCAGAAGACCACATGTTACATATCCTCCATGGGACCCTGCGAACCTCAGGAGGCCCCAAAGAGGTCCAGGAGGCCGCAGGACGCCCAGGACAGGCCCCAGGGGTCCCCAGGAGATTCCCAGGAGGCTCCCAGGAGGCCCCAGGAGGCCCTCTATCAGAACGTGTCAAGTTAATTCACATCCGGTGTCGATTCGTTGATTTTTCCTGCTCCTGTGCCCCCCCCCCTGTATTTTGAGGGGCCCAAGCGGCCACATGTTAGATATCCCCCCTGGGAGCCCCAAGATGCTTCAGGAAGCCTCAGGTGGAGTTCAGGAGGCCACAGGAGGTCCAGGAGGAAGCTCCAGGAGGTCCCCAGGAGGCACCAGGAGGCACCAGGAGGCCGCAGGACGCCCAGGACAGGCCCCAGGGGTGTCCAGGAGATTCCCAGCAGGCTCCCAAGAGGCCCCAGGAGGCCGCCTATCAGAACGTGTCAAGTTAATACACATCCGGTGTCGATTCGTTGATTTTTCCTGCTCTTGTGCCCCCCCCTTCATTTGGAGAGGCCCAAACGGCCACAGGTTAGATATCCCCCCTGGGAGCCCCAAGAGGCTTCAGGAAACCCCAGGTGGAGTTCACGAGGCCACAGGAGGCCCAGGAGGAAGCTCCAGGAGGTCCCCAGGAGGCCTCAGGAGGCACCAGGAGGCCCCCGCAACTCGGAGCTCTGAGACGCCGCGCTCGAGGTGGTCCGGCCCGTTTCGCCTGAGACTTCCTCGCGCCACGTTTCGCCAGAGACATCGTCGCAACTCTAGGGTCCGAGATGCCGCGCGCGAGTTGGTCCAGCCCGTTACGCTGGAGACATCCTCGCAACTCTAGGTTCCGAGATGCCGTTCGGGATGAAGAGGAGGTGGAGGAGGATGAGGAGGAGGAGGAGGAGGAGGAGATGGAAGGGAGAAGGAGGAGGCCGATGATGTGCATGAGGGAGCAGGCAGGAGGAGGGGGAGGCCCCAGAGAGCTTCGGGAGGCCGCAGGACGCCCAGGACAGGCCCCAAGGGGTCCGCAGGAGATTCCCAGGAGGCTCCCACGAGGCCCCAGGAGGCCCCCTATCAGAACGTGTCAAGTTATTCACATCCGGTGTCGATTCGTTGATTTTTCCTGCTCTTGTGGCCCCCCCTGTATTTTGAGGGGCCCAAGCGGCCACAGGTTAGATATCCCCCCTGGGAGCCCCAGACGCTTCAGGAAACCCCAGGTGGAGTTCAGGAGGCCACAGGAGGCCCAGGAGGAAGCCCCAGGAGGTCCCCAGGAGGCCCCAGGAGGCACCAGGAGGCCCCCGCAACTCGGTGCTCTGAGACGCCGCGCTCGAGGTGGTCCGGCCCGTTTCGCCTGAGACTTCCTCGCAGCACGTTTCGCCCAAGAAATCGTCGCAACTCTGGGGTCCGAAATGCCGCGCGCGAGGTGATCCAGCCCGTTACGCTGGAGACATCCTCGCAACTCTGGGCTCCGAGATGCCTTTCGGGATGAAGAGGAGGTGGACGAGGAGGAGGAGGAGGAGGAGGAGGAGGCATGTTTTAACATGCCATGCCAGCCCGCAC